CGCAAACGCGACCCCCCGCGAGGCCGACCCTCGGTGTCACCTCCCGTCCCGCCGGTCCTGCTGCTGCCGGCGCTCAGGGAGAGCGAGGGCTGCGGTTGTGTGAGGTCCCACTTTGGACCTTGAATTTTTTGTTAATATTACCTTGGAGAAGTGGTATTGACAATTCTCTCCCTCTTGTAACATGAGAAATGTTTTCTCGTTAATTTGGAGCTAGCGATTCTTTCCCGGGCTATAGCAGGAAAGGCTTTACTCATCCCCTCCTCTGCCCTTCAACGGCGGCTCTTCATCCCTAACCGAGGGGACGAGCAGCACAGCCCGTTTTTTCGGGAGGAGGCTCCTCGCCTTGAGGTGTTTATTATTTCCTAGAAATACCCTATGGCTCAAATGGACATGATGGGATTGAGAGAACTGTCCTTATTTCAGAAATGTGAGTGGTCATAAATGGTGCCTTTCAGCTTTAAAGTCCATGAAATTCTCTGCAACAGCAACACCTGCCCTGAACCACGCTGCCTCCAGCCGTGCCTTTGGTACCCAGCAGAAGACCACAGCCAAGTAAGCCCAAAACCACCTTTCTATTTTCCTGTCGGCATCCCCAGCCTTTGCCCACCAAACCCCTTGGAAATGAGGCTCACTCACACCTGCTCAGAGTGCTGGCTTTTATTTCGGAAGAGGCCCATGGAGCTGCTGGTGCATGGCAAGTGGGGCAGACCTAGAGCCGTTGGGGAGGAGGGATGCGGCAGAGGAATGACTGTGCCCAGCTGCTGCTCCGCTGCGGCTCAGCGGCTCAGGAGACAAGGGTAGCACTTGCGTGCCATTTCGATCTTCACAACGCTGTTGGGTCCCAGCGAGTAGGTCACCTCGTCCTCGCTCACCCCCGGCGGCAGGCTGATTTCCTTCATGATGTTTTTGTAGGTATACTCCTTCCCTCTTGCGGTGGTGCGCTCCTCCTCATGCTCCGCTGACACCTTCACCTTCCCGTCTTTCACTGTTACAGTGACTTCCCTGGGGTCAAAACCCTCCACATCCATCCAAGCCAAAAGCTTGTGATCATGGGAAGAATTCAACACCCTGTTAAGTCTTCTTTGCATGCTGGAATATAAACACGAGGACAGGCTTTCAGTCCTGCTCATAGAGGAAAGGGTGGACGACCTTCAGGGCAAGAGAAGTAAATAGGAAACTGTTGGATCCACCTTTGCATTGATGTACAGCATGTGGGGTGGTGTCTGCACCATCAGAAGGAGCTGCCACCTGCACTCCACAGCAGTCAGGAGTATTTCAGCGTGCCCTCTTGGGATGGGGCAACTGCGGAGCTGAAAAGTTCTTTCACCTAAATATAGAGAAACCAGTGCTCCTCTTTCACATGTATCTATGCCCACCAAGCCGTGCGTGTCCATCTTACGCATTGTCCTACACTTTAAATGGATAGTTACAATAGAACACATTTTCCAGTTAGGAGTTTTGTTTAAAGCAATCAGTGGATGAGAGACACATCTGGCAAAAAAACCCAAAATGTTCCTGCAGAGCTGGGCTGGAGGCTCACTGAGCCATTAAAATGATTTCTAATTCTGTCAAACAGTGACTCTGCTCAACCAGAAGGCTGGCTCTTATTCAAACCATTTATAAAATACAATGGAAGGGTCACCTCAATTCTAATAGCTAAATTGGACACAAGGCACCAAATTAAAAAGATAATGTCTGTGATGGAAGAGGAAATAGGGCAAGCAATGAGGGAACAGGCATGACCACTAAGGTGAGAAATCCCTAACGAGCGGTTCGTTAGCAAGGTACACGCATTTCAGCAATCCTATTTAAAGCCTGCAATGATTCAACCTTGTGTGGCGATTTTGAGATGCATTTTCTGTGCTCTGTGAAAAGTGGCTCCTCCACTTGCCCCTTTGGTCTTTTTCTGTTGCTGGTCAGAGGAGCATAAATGTGCTGGGAAGCGTTGGTCATTCAGGACATTTCGGGCATTCTTTTGAGGGAAGGGGGTGGTTGAATTCCCCAGGGCCATGGGCTGAAATCCTGCTGTGGTGTGGTTTCAGATAGCAGCCGTACGGACTCGTGTTAAAACCGGGGAGGTGTCCTGAATGTGGCGGGGCTGAGGAGCCGGGCACTCGGGGAGAGAACGCCGCGGCAGCCCAGAGCCTGTCCGGAGACCTCCTGGCTTTCATTCAGACTGGATTTCCCTTCCTTCACTGGCATTCGGTGTACGATGGTTCTGCACGGGGATGCTGTGCCCGCCCAGCTCTGGTACCCAACGCACTGATGAAAACCTGGACATCGACACCAGCCGCTGCAGCACCTGGGTGCCCGGATCCGAAATCTGCCACTTATCAGCCTCGCGTGAGCCCCAGCCACGGGGTAAGCTTAACGTAAACTCACAGCAACTTTCGGTTTTGCTGAAGTGTAAAATTAACTCAGGGGTCAGGCTTTTTCCTCTAACTTTGTTGCACCCACTAGATAACACACGTGGCAGACCGTGGGCTGATACTTGCTGCTCTACAGCTAACGAAACCATCACATTTTTAATTGCCAAGATGAAGGTCTCATCATCTCCAGGCACAACACACAAGAACTTGAACAAAAGTTTGCTTTTGGGGAGAAAATACCAGTGCCACAAAGGCAGCAAGAGAAGGTCTCACCACTGCTGGTGACCAAGGGACTTCTTAGCCCTTCTGGTCTCAACGTTCAGTGGTGCCTTAACCCAAATGGTACAGTTTTCTCATTCAACAGCTCCCTTCCTATAGGGCTACCTGTGGGTTTTATCTCTACTAGAGTCAATCTTGAACTCCATTAAGGAAATAAAACCGCCACACCAAAAAATGGAGGTGCTGAATCCTGACACCTATGCCTCCTACTGCAGGAGGTGGGAAAATGCGGACGCGTGTCTGTGGTGCATCAACGCTGCACCCCACCGCATCCACGCACATTTTGAACGACTGATGAAGATGATTGCGTGTTTAACAGACTTAAACTGAATTTATGTTGAAGGTGGACTCTGTTCCACAGCTGAACAGCTTTGGATCTAGCTGTGTACTTCAGTTTAGACACGGCTTGCGAGATGATCAGTGTCACAACGCCATCACCCAAACCCTTTCTGGCGCAGGCGCTGCCTGCGTGGCTCCTCTCGGGCTGCCTGTCCGAACGAGCTGTGCCTTCCCTTCCCCTTTCAACTAATTTCTCTGAAAATGGCTATTTGTCCCCCATCCTGCTCATCCGTTTCCACCTTTGCTCCTGATACCAATGCCAAACACCCCTTCATCCTGCCTTAAATGCCTTAAAGGATGCCGATGCCCACAGAGAGTCGGCAAATACCCGTTACCTGCCCAGTTCTCGCTCCACATCCAGCCCGGCGGTGAGGGCCCTTCTCTCCCAGGGGCGCGGGTCGGGCTGGTGCAGGCAGCAGGGGCGCGGGGCCGGGCTGCGTGGGCAG